GCCTCAATGAGCTGCGCGCAGGGTAAACAAGGTGAAATATCCTTCCGCAGCGCGACCCGGTGGCGGGAGCTTTGTGCGCCGCTCCGGGCTCCTGCTGACTCAGTGCTGGGATGTGCGCGCGGGGGGGCTGCATTGCACTCCTATTTTTCAATAGAGCTGGTGCTTCATTAAAAAAAAAAAAAAAAGCGGGGGGGGGGAACGCTTGTAAAATAAAAGCCCAACTTCTGTTGTATAAAGCTGTCTGCAGGCATGAATGCTGTGCGGGTGGTATGCTCTTGGCAGGGCAGTGCAAGCCTTTTCTTTCTTTTTTCCTCTCCCCCACCCCATCAGTTTTTCCAGGCAACCTGGATCTGGGCTTCACATATTTGCAGCAGCAACAGCAGTTGCTTCCCAGTGTAATGATGTGGGAGGAGTTCCCTTGACTCCAGGCCTAGTTTAATCCACCAGGCAAAACCTAAAAGGTGTTGGGGGGGGACAAACCCATCTGTACTAGGCAGGGAAAGCCATGAATGAGTCACCTCCAAGCACAAGCGAGTTTCCTTTCTGTTTTTATACTAGGTTTTGGATGCACATTCAAGTTTACCAAGCAGCTCCCCTGCTAATATTTGGGTTTGGCTTCCTGTCAATCTCAGGACCAGCAAAAAGGAGCGGTGGTATAAGGCAGAAAAATGCAAAGCAAAGCTTGAGGGGTAGTGGGATGCAATGGGAAAAGGGAAATCATTTTGCCTGGTGGCCATCAGCTTGAAGGCAATACAAACTGGGCTGGGCCTGCTCAGTTTTCCTGGTGATGGACTACAGTAGTGGTCTCCAACCTTTTTAAGTAGGAGATCACCTTTGACACTATGCTCCCTGCTGACTTCCTGCCCCTGGGGCAGGGGGCTGGACTCAGTGATCCTCCGGGGTCCCTTCCAGCCCAAATGTCTATGAAATGTAAATGTAACTCAAGATCTACCACCGGGCACTGCTGCCACATCCCCCGCCCAGCAAGTACGTCTGCAGGGAGTGGGGGGGGGGGCAGATTGAGGCAGAGGGAGAAAAAAATATTTGGGGGGGCTCCTCCCCAGCAGGTAAGTCCCACCCAGCCGGGGCCCCGTTCAACTTACCCTTGCTCCTGCCTCTACGGCACTGTCCCTCACCGCAGGGCCTCAATCTAGCCCCCACCTCTTCCCTCCCTAACTGACTGACCTGCTGGTTTGGGGCATGCGGGTGCTCAGCCCCCCACCCCAGCCTCAGATCAACCCCAGCAGGCTCCGAGATCTACTGGTGGATCGAGATCCACTGGTTGGTGACCACTGGGCTACAGCTACAAATGGGGAAGGGATGTGAAGGGTCCAGGGGTGTTACCTGACCACAGTTTAGGGGCAGTGAGCTTTTGTGCTGGTGTGGTTCGCGGCATCCTAGGGGCCAGGGTCGGACACAGGCATGGGCGCACTGGCTGGCCATCCAGGGCCTAGACAGAAAGGAGGGTGAAAATGATAATTTTTTAATTTTATCATCATTACCTCTGGTGAAGGGGGGCCCAATTCTAAAAGTTTGCCTAAGGCTGGCAGGAGTCTAGGCATGGTGCTAGGGACCCGCATCTCAGCTTGCAACTCCTTTGTGGTGAGGTGCTCGACATGTTGAATAACCTAATCTAGAAGAATGTATCTGCTTTTGCAGGCAAAAAGGGAACGCACTTTCACAGGTGCATCAGGAAGGTGCAAGGGGCCAGTGCAGCAAGGTACTGGCATTTCCAGAGAAATCTCTGGAAGATATTGAAGCAAGTGCTGTGGTTTTTCCAGGTCAACTCACCTTCTACTCCAGTCATTCTTTACTAGAGTAGTATGAGTCTTGCAAAATCCCCAAAAGGACTCCAAGCTGCAGCCACCAGGTGTCAATATATCAAAATTTACAGTTGCAATCAAAATAGAATTGAGAAGAATTTTCCTAACGTTAGGCCAAAATTTGGCACAGGGTAGTTCAGCCTTCACAAGCTGTGCTAGGCTATGATCCTCTTCTATGACCCCAACTTCCTTTGTCACTGGGAATGAATGGGGAGGATCCTGCAAATCTGTGTCTAACTTGTGAATTTTGCTCCCCCATTTCTCCTAGAGCAGCAAGCACAGTTTAGACCCTTCAGCATTTCAGGGTTTTCTCCCTGTCTGCATTTCACTGTTAGGTCCTGAAGTTAATGATAGCAGCCTGTATTATGTGTTAAATACTGGTTGGTGCCCCAAATCTGTTAGGAAGATGAAGTGGTGCTTTGCAATAAGCTATTTGAAGGCTGGGGAATTGCTCAAATGACTTCTCAGATCCAAATGTCATCCTCTGCCTACAGAACATGTGCAGGAAGTGGAGAGCAGCAAGACAAACCACTGCAAATTCTGGTGGCTCACCTGTGACCTACAGAGGCTACATTGAAAGGTAGCAAATAATAGGAAGAGTCATAGTGGATCAGACATGTGATCCATCTAGTCCAGTGCCCCATGTCTGACAGAACCCAGCACCAGATGCTTCAAAAAAAGGTGTAGGAAACCTTCCAGTATGTACCTGTGGGATTAGCTGCCTCTTCAAAATGCCATCCTAGTCCCTAGCAATTAGAGATTGGCTGGTCTCCTCGAGCAGGAGGGTTTTATATCCCTTCAAAATTGTAGCATTAACCTTATAACTCTGGAGATTCATGCTGGCCATGTTAACATCCAATTGCTCTTAAATCTTGCTATGTTCTTGGCCTCATCAATATCCTGTGCCATACTCTGCTTTTGCATCAAGTGAAAAAGTACTTAAATCTCCCATTGTAATAAAAGTTTTTTTCTTCCTTACTTTTAATTATCTTTGAGCCCTCTATAATTCCATAAGAGTATTTTTAAAGATGGGATGATGATACAGTGCTATCACAAAACCCAAGCCCTTGCCATCATACCTACCTTGGCCTCCCAGGATGCTTATAATGTGATGGGGGTTTAATCCTCAGGGTTTTATTCTATACCCCCTAAATTGAAACGGTGGGTTTTTAACTGAAACCCATCATTTCAGTTTTTCTGTCACATTATGGCGAGGGGCCCAATCCTTTTTTTTTTTTTTCGGAGCCAGAGCCTGCTCACAGCCAGGGGATGAGTTGCCAGCAGGGTAAGTGGGCCCTAAGCTGTGGTGGGGCCCAGTCCTTCCCACCCAGGCAGGCTGCTAGTGGGTTGGGTACTGCCCCAGCTCAGAGGCAGCACCTGGCCCGATCCGACTCTTCCCCAATCTCTAGCTAGCGCAGCACCCAGACCACTAGCAGCCTTCCGGGGAAGGTGCCACCACCACAGAGGAAAGGACTAGTCCCCTTCACAGCTCAGGGGGCCATTCATCCTGCTGGCAGCTTGCCCCCCAGCCATCAGACAGACGGGCAGACTCCATCAAAAAAATAAATAAATAAAAAAGCATTGGGCACCTTGCCACTTCTGCCGTCAGCAGGCTTCCCACCAACTTAAATGGTGTGGGAACCATCTTTATCCTCAACAATTCTTTACTTTACCTGCTGGAAAATACAGGAATTCTCACTCTGTTTGACAAGAAATGCTGCCTCTCTGGCACTAGGGGTGTGGTGTTTGACAGAGAGAGAGAGAGCTAGCAATTACAGCAGAAGATTGGCGGTCAAAACCATGTGTTATTGATCTGACTATGTACTGGCTTAGTTTGGCACTGGGCAAGTCATTTAACTTATCCAGGCTTCAGTCTCCCTGTACATAAAAAAGGATACTAAATATTTTGCCCACTGTTGGAAAGGATGGCATGAGTCCTATGTGAAAGGAGGTCTCAGTGCTGGACAATATCATTTTATTACATTTTCCTATTCAATACAATATGGTACATGTTGCTGACTGCTAAAATAAGATATCTGAAAATCATAGCATCGACTTTTCTTCTAATCATTTTAAAATCAAGCTATGGGCATTAGAAATTCCAGTTTCCTTGTCTATGGCATTTTCTGTCTGCAGTGCAAGATAAATATTGAGTATGGACTCCCTCTTAAAGGAAAAAGAGAGTTCAAGTAATTTTTTTTCTCAAGAAGTAGAAAGTTGTACAGTTTCCATTGCCTTAGATGGTTGGAGTCTCTGAAATGCAGCTGGGGAAGGGCACAAAGTGGGAAATATTTGATAATTTGTTATCAAGTATTTATGTTATCATAATCTAATTTTAAAAAATATTATATCATGAGGACTAAACATTTCAAATTATAAGGGTGTGCCTCTTCCTGTTGTTTGGGGTTTATAACTCCATCAATCTATAGGGTAGTTTCTGAGTAGCCTTACATCTTTGGGGAGCTTGTACACGTGATGATCGTCACCATGTACACATGACAAAATTTTTCTTTGTGTGACTTAACAGTGTCACACATTACACATGTGTTTAATGGCTGGGGGTTTCAAATGAGTTTGCAATGTTGCAAATTAAACCACATCCACATATAGTTTATTTTGCATCATTGCTACGTGTAACGTTGCAGCCTTTAATTTGACAGCTCGCCCCCAACTACAGGAGAGGCAAGCAGGCTCCACTGAAAAAAAAGATCAAGCCCCTTCTGCTTCTCCTTTCAGTAGATGCCCGGCGGCCGCAGGCACTTATTAAAGGCAAAAGCAGTGAGGCTCCCCCCCTTTTTTTCATGGAGCCTGCCTCTCCCACAGCCGGGGTGGGGAGGAGGTGGGTTGAGCTGTCAGTAGGCCAAGCAGCCCCTGAGCTATGAGGGGCCTCAGTCCCTCTCTCCATAGCAGCACCCCCAGAGCCACCCATGTGGGCTGCTAGCAGGCTTGGTGCTGCCCCAGCTTAGAGGCATCCAGCCAGAT